TCATGACAATTTGAGGGACAAGTAGATCACTTCTGCATATTGTTTACAGTCTAAGTGGTGTTACTCTGTTTCTTGCTGTTAACATATAAAGGTATATGATAAATTCTGATTTTTTTTCAATACCTATTATTATGTGTTCTGCAAATAATAATTCTCCTTCCATTACTCTTTTTCACTCTTGAACTTTTGTACAAAATACTTTTTATAGTACAGTATTTTATAGCACATTCAGTACTGGTGGGAAAAGGAGGAGGATGAGTGTATTTGTGTGTAAAGCATATAATTCTTCAGTTTAGGTTTCAAGTTAGCCTCACAAATGTACCTAACAGATGAAAAGTGTAGTTCTGTGAGGTCATGTCAACTATTACCAGAATAATGCACGTCTGTCAAACCAGTGGAAATTTGTATGGATTTAAACACCTTTAATTAGAAAGCACATACTCATAAATAACTGTAATTGCTATGGCAAATTTATATCTCAGTGTTGCTTCTATGAGGCTTTTGTGCAAGGGCCTACCATATGAAATAATTAATTTTCCTTTATGAACTTTATGAATAATGAAGATGTAGTTGCCAGTTCAATCGAGGGACTGAGCAGTGGGCTTTGGCAGCCAGGTGGGCTCTGGGGCTGCACCAAGAGGAGCACAGCTGGATGGCTCAGGGAAGAGATTGTACCCCTCTGTTCACTCCATAGTCTGCAGAACAACACTGCCTCCCCCTCTGAGCCCCCAAATTCCAGCCAGACATCAACACACTGGGGAAGGACCAAGCAGAGGCCACCAGGATGGTCAGTGCAGATGCCTGAGGGAGCTGGGCTTGTTCAGCCTGGAGGATGGACATGTCCAGGGGCTCCTCTAGCAGGGAGGGTATCCAGGAGACAGCCAGGCTTGTCAGTGCTGCTTGGTGAGAAACAAGGGGCTCCCCTGAACCAGGAGACACTCCAGCTGGATAGAAGGAAAAGCCAATGCAGAGAGCGAGGCCAGTGGGGCTGGACAGGCTCCACCCCTGGAGGCTCTCAGGACAGGACAAAGCCTTGAGTATCCTGGGCTGGCTTTGTATCTGACGTGCTTTGAGCAGGAGGTTGAGCTAGAAACCTCCTGAGGTCCCTTCCAAGCTGTCTGGTCCTAAAAATGCTGTCCCTGCTAGGAACTTCACACAATGATGGTTTCTTCAAGGTTTTCATGGCTGTTTTTCTTTGTGAGGATTTAAGAAAGGGCAAACCAGTTTTTCATACAGACCATATAATTTCTGCTTAGCCATTTGGTTGGATCATGCCAAATGGATCATTCAAAATTGAAAAAAGCCCAACTTTAATGTATTTTAATTCCTAATAAATTGTTTAAGTGTAATAGCCATAGTTCCTGTAACAAATTTGAGCCTTTTTAGGGCTGTATCACATTTAAAGGTTGAAATAGTTTAAAGCCTGAAATTCCCCTGAAACCCACTTTGTTTAAAACATGTGATTAACTTTATTAAACAATGTAACATGTTTATATTGATGTTCTCCTAGGGTAAGGTTTCCATGCCTGCATCCTATGCTTGGCATACAACCCTACTTAAGATCCTTCCAGCTCACTGGAGAGATGACTAGGCTGTGTTTCATTTGATGTAGCTATAGCAGTTGAAAAGTTAGTACTTAAGATATTAGAACAGAAAGAGATGAGTGCTTCTGGACAATGATTCACTCCATCCCAAAATAAATGCCTCAGATAAGTAAAATGAGTCATTTGCTGACAGGGTTTGCCTTGCTTGCCTTCTTTGTTCTATAGTGACCATACAAGGAGCACAGACAGGGAGGCCTAGACAACAAGTTGATATATCCTCTTTTTTGGCATTGCTTAACTTTAAATAATGAGCTACAAAATAGCTTCACAGTGTAATCACCCTGCATTTGGGATACAGTAAAATCCTGCTATATTTGTTTGTACTTTCAGATGAAGTGCTATCTTATTCAATGTTCTTTGCAGCACTCAAAATCACTTGACTTTATTGGAAAAATTGTTAAGTTTGCATTATTGTCTGGAAGGGGATGGCAGGAGAGCATAAAACCACCTTAGCAAAAACAGCAACAAAACAGAAAGCAGATAATTTTATAAAAGGTGCGTGTTGGTCTTTCCAACTGAAATTCTAGGGGAAAAAATCAGTATGGTAAGAGTTCTATATTGAATGGAATTATTTTTGAGATGAATTTGCAAGGAATGCAATATTCTTAATTTACATGAACACTGACTGAATCTTCATATTCGTGATAGGCAAAGGAACAAACCCACCTACCTTAAACAGTCTTTCAGTTAAAAAGGTTTAGTGATAGCAAAAGGAATTCTCAAGTCTTTTACAGAAGTGTGACACTCATTAAACATCAAACCCTCCTGTTGCAGATTACTTGATCTGGCATTTAAGGACTGGGATTGGTCCTTTGATGATGTTGATGATATTGATGGTGATGATGATGACGATGTTTTTGATTTCTGAAGAAGTATAAGGGGTAAATCTAAATAGAGAGGAATGGATTTGTTTGCCTTTGAATACAGCATGCTATGTTGGATTTTGTTTCTCAAAGCAGAGAAAATACAAGATCTCATTTTAAAATTTTAAATAGAAAAATGAGATTCTGTTCATCATATTGAACTTTTAGAGGAGTCATTTTCATTAAAAGAAAGTTGTTGCCTTTGCCAGTGTTTTTATTTTTCTAATTTTAGATTTTTTTCGAAATTCATGTCTGCCTGCCTGAAAAAAACCCCAAAACTGCTGTTTTCAGGGTCGTTGCTCATCTGTAATGCTAATACTGAGAACCTCAGCACTGAATATTTGAAGGATAAAAGGGAGATGGTAGCAGTTGCATGTTTAGCTGAAATAGACTTGGTATTTACAAACACTTTTTATTTCTAAGCTTTGAATATAAACTGGTCTATGGCTAGCAGACATGAAATCACTGGAGTTCTGCATTTTGCTTTTCTACCTCTGTTCTGAAGTGAATTTGACTTGGCTTTCCTTTGCAGTGCTGTGCTTTCTGGGTACCTAACCACGCATTTGAAAACTATGTAAACAAATGGGTTTGCAGCTGCTGTGGTGTGGTTTCCTTGACTGCTTTAGAAAGATCCCCCAGTTGCAGTGATTGATTTGTCCCATGGCTTAATTCTGGATGTATTGCAAAAAGCTTTACCTTTTTCTAGACCTCAGGATCTGATCATTTCATACATTGGTGCAATCTTATATTTACACAGAAAAAAACATAAATGTAAAATGCCTAAGGATTGTTTCAAACAATATGTGAGATGTGTCTCAGCTGTATAACTGTGCCACTGGGGCTGCTGCTCTGCTGTGTGCTCAGGGAACTGAGGAACCAGCTCCTGCAGAACTTAACTGGCTTAGTGCTCACAGTAATGAGCATTATGTTAATTAAATATACTGCATCTTTGTGTATTAAAAGCTTACTGATCACTAATCCTTTAGAAGTAACCATTACACTGTGCATATTGTACTTTACCCATATGTATTGCAAGGGGATTACAGTGTGTAAGGATTGCTATACTGAAGTAATGTTGCTGTTGGATGCACAGGAAAGGCTCTTCTCACAAGTACAATGATGAACCCATCTTAAAGGAAGACTTTAAAGAAGTATATTTTTGTCAGATTTACATTTGTTGCATTTACTGACCAAACTTCCTGCTTCTTTTTCAGCTAACTGCTTTCCGTGAATGCAGACACAGTCAAGGTGATAATTTTCTTCCCATTACAGCAAGACTGAAACATATCCCAAAATATATTAAAAATATATATTTTCCTGAGAGATTGTGCTATATATATCAGAGGTTTACATTTTTGCTGCAATATAAATTACTAATCTCTGAGGGTTTTCCTGTATTCTCCCAAGTGACTGATCAGTTGAGGAATGGTTGGTAAATAGTCAGAGGATATGTTAGGTAACCTTTTAAACTCTGTTCCACAAAAGCTTTCTTGGCAAGACACATACACTACATTTCATAAAAGGATCAAGAGGAATGAGTATTGAAATGGAAGAAACTGACTTTTCAGCTTTCTTAAAGATGCCACCAGCACGTCTGCACGTAGAACCGGAGGAAGATCCACCATAGTGATATAGACTGCATCTGTGAGAAGTGACCATTAAACTGTGTAAATATATTGTACTGTAATACTGCAAGAGGGGTTTAAAAATCTTTCCACTTTATTTTTTTATGCTTATTAATCAGATACCGTTACTTATTGCAGTTGCAACTATGCACTTGTATAAAGCCATAATGTTGAAGTTTATATCATTCATACACATTTATCAGAAGCTGCATGTCAGTGTTCAGCAGCTAGTATAGGTTTGAAGTATATACTAGTTTCAGCTACATCATCATGGGCAGTCCCTTTGTACCTGTCTAATTGCCTTAATTTAAATTTTTTCAAGTTTTTTTGCCCATTCCTTCTATTTAAGGAAAAAGAAAGTTTACCAGCTCTTAGGATGCAGTTTTGCTTTGTGGCAGAAAAAATAGTGCACTATTTTTACACCTATTAAGTATATCAGTGTCAACCTATTTTGAATGTATATCGACTGGTTTTAAGGGTGGAGAAGTGTTGGTTACAGAAACAACATCTGAGAGCATGGGATTTACCAGACCGTTTGCTTGTACATGTAACTGCTCATCCAGCCCTTTTTACAAACCTCAATGCTAGTTATTGACTTATATTAACCCTCATTAAGTGCTATGAAACTTCATTTTGCCTTGTTTTTGCATACTTTCCTAGATGTGTTGTTTTTTTGGGGTTTTTTTTATTTCTGGAAAATAAAAGCATCTGTGACTATTTTTACATTTCACAACACAATATCTGAGGACTGTCACAAACCTTAAGAAAAGTGAAACATACTGTAGATGTATTTTAAAGTTTTAATCTGGTTCTCTAGCACATAGCTGTAGGCATAGATAAATAATTCAGTAGTGTGTTTTGAGAACTGATAGCTGGGAAGAAAGGGCCTCAGAGGCACTTATTCTGACTTTTTTTTTAACTTGGAGTTGTACAAAAAATATAATATATATGGGCTCATTCATGATGTGTTCATAATTATCCCAGAAAATGCATGTTTTATACAACTACAGTATGTGATGTTAAACATATTGACAGTAAAAAATGTAGTCTCCTATTTGGTCTATTTATATATATATAAATATATATATATATTTAGAATATATATATATATATAAAATATTGTGTGGGAGTGCAGTAATTTAAAATATGATCTAACACTTCAATGAAGGAGGACATTTCACTTTAAAATTTTGTTTGTTTGTTTTTGTTTTTTAAAGAGTGTTGAAATGCTTGGAAGGATAGGACCATGTTTTATTTAACACTATCATGAAAGGTGGACTTGGAAACACTGAAATACTGAAAATTAATAAATATATTTACATTTTGTAACCTCTACTACAGTTCAGCTTAACAAAGCAAGAATGTATTCAGTCTTCTATTTATGTGCTCACAACGTAAAATGTTGTTTGTGAGTTCTTAAATTCAAAACTAAAATTTCATATCATTTCTGTTAGGTATTATAACCCAGAGCACAGCTACAGTGGTTTTTCCCTGCTTGTTTTGATTTACAGAAGTACGGTATATTTTTAGATAATGCAGATTTGCATAGAGTACAACATTAAAAATGTATACAGTAAAACTGTTTCCATTCACTGAATGCATAAATATTTTATATATATATATAAAAAAATGTTACATTGTGGGAAGTTCTATCCTTTTCTGAATTGGAGAATATTATATATATATATATTTTTAAATAAACTATTTGAGTAAGGTAAAATAGTTCCTGAACTTGAGAAGCTGGTAATTAATTGAACTATTTAAATATAAAATAACTACTGCAGCAGATATGGGAAAGGCAAGGGGTGTTCCAAGGCAGCCCAGCAAAGGCTGTGTCTGGAGAAGGAGCAGACTCCGAGGGAGCTGTTTGGCAGCTCCTCCACTGCTGGGGCTGATCCTTTGCACTTTCTCTCCTGGCTTGCCCTCATTTACTGTGGATGCACGGGGCCCTGCTAAGCCTGACACTTCAGGAAATGCACGGTGTGATGGTATTTGCCAGGCACAGTGGATGAATGCCATGCTTGTACAAATGGTGCTTAGCTGTCCTGGACGGAGTCGGGGAGCAGAACAGGCCTCGGGGGAGCAGGGGGCTCTGTGCTCTGACCTCTGCTCAGGGCAGAGCTGGCTTGGCACAGCTTCCTCAAGGCCACTGGGCTGAGGTGCACCAACCTCGCTTTGTACCCAGGACACAAAAGGCAGAGCTGCTCTTCTGTTCTCTCTTATCCTGCTGTGAAATGCAAACACCTCTTTAATGCTAGATCCTGGACTTTGTGTTGTTTCCTTACTGTCTAGTGGTGACCTTTTAATGTTTTTGAGAGAAGGACATATTCATGAACTAAGGAGTATTTGTCTTGAAAGTCACTGATGTTTTGACATTTTCTTTTTGTTACAGCCTTGTCCTAATCAAACAGGACATTTTTATGGCCTGAATGACTTACCTATAGACAATTCTCTCATTGCAAGTCCTTTTGTCTCACAAGGGTAAACAAGTTGTATTGCCAAGCTGCAGATTAATCTTCTGGAAAAACAAGGGGTCAGACTTGGAGCCAGAAGCTCGAGGCACTTGTATAGAAATTGCTCCTTTGTTCCCAGTCCAGGAGCTCACCAGCACAGAAGGACAGGCAGACCCCATTGGAATTACCTTGTCAGGTGTCAGGAAGACTTTTCTGCAATGTGATTTCCACTTCTGTCCTAGTTGTGTGCTGCAATTCCCTACCTCTTGTAGTCCCTGCCAAAGTACAGCCCCTCCCAGCAACCCAGCACCAAGTCTGCTTTTAACTGGAGGAAAACTATGGTGGTTCTTGTGCTTCTGAGCATGGCTGATGCTGTAACCAAAAACATGACATGGAATCACAGTAGGACTTGGAAACATGCAAGAGGCTCAAGGATCTTAGCAGTGACAGGGGCCAAATTTAAAACATCAATGAAATTTCATTTACTTTCTCTTACTGCCTCTTGAAAACACTGAACCTCCTACATTTTGAGAGGCATTCAGTCGCTCTCTGAAGGCACCAAGGCCAGGAAAGCTGCCACTGAAATTATGTGCTTTTTCTCTTTATTTCTTTTTAGTTTCTAATGTCAAGTCAGATCATGGGAAATTTGAGCCTTTCTGTTTGTAATCTTACAATGTATTAGTTTCCCATCTAGCTTTGAGAGAATCATCCTTAGAAGAGAATTATATCTTTTGGTCCCAAGTGCCTTTACCCATCCTGTGCTTGTGAGGTTGTGTGTGGGATGCTGCTGTGGAAAGGGGAAACTTATTAAAGCAAACTTCTTACTGCATTGCTCGTACAGACCCTTAATCACTTCGTTATTCTGTTTTTGAGGCAGAAGAACAAACAGTACAAGGTCCAGTCCAGTGAACTGGAGTATTTCAGTCTCTTCCACATTCCTGGATAGTTTGCTTTGACATTCATGTTAAAATAATGATTAATTTGTTTTTTCATGTAATCATAGAACATATCAAGTTGGAACAGACCTATAAGGATCATCGAGTCCAACTCTCTGCTCCTCACAGAACTACCTAAAATGAAACCATATGACTAAAAGCATGATCTAGACACTCCTTGACCTCTGGACAGTGGCTTGGTGCCTTTTTCAGTGCATTACAGTTTTTTACAAATTATCATCTCTGGACATAGTGCACTTTAAATTGAAAACATTGCTTCTTATTTTTTAAGATAATCTTCTGAATTATTTAGTTTCTATCAGAATCCCAAGGATCATAGGGTTTGCTTGCTGCTTTAAAGTGTCCCTCATGAGGGTAGGAATGATTTTTCTTTCTAATCTCTCTAAAAGATGTTGATGGAATGGTTCTGAAAATACAATTTGTGTTCAATGTCGAAGTTGCCTAAAAATTGGATAGGTGTATCTAAAAATTCAGACATATTGCCTAAATATTCAGACATTCTCATCTGAGAAATTAGACAAGTCTACTGCAATGTGTGTGGCAGAGAAGAACACTCAGAACACATCCAGCTTAGCTCTCCCCAGAAACTACCGCAATGGATGGAAAAGCTGTTGCTATAGAAACATAGCTCTTAAGAAGTGGGGATGTAGAGAAAATAATGTATTGGCACAGGATGCTAATTATCAGGTCTTATTATTGAAAATTGGGGTTTGGAATCTTTGCCTCTTTGTAGGCAGGAAGCAGTGTTTTATAAAGGTAAGAAAGCCACATCTTGATATTGCAAGGGTGAAGCCTTGGATTTGACTGCAGCTGCTTTTGCTCCAATAATCTTGTAGCAGCTGCAAGATTAAAGTGATCTTTCAAAATGAAAGTCATGGTGAAAGGTCACGAAATTTCAATTATAAGTGTATGTAGTCCTGATACCTTAATGAACTCTGGAAAGACATCATCACCATGAAAAGAAAGGGCAGAGAGTCCAATAATGTCATGTCTCTGCAGCCCTTACTTGTTGGAGGAGCTGCACAGAAATGCTTCCACAACCAAGACAACTGCATAGGATGCTTCAGTCCTACCACTTCATTTTAAGGTCGAGGCCTTCAGTGTTTTTCAGAGATGTGGGCCTGCTTCTATGCCTAGTCTTATATTGTCCCTGTGGGCCTCATGTCATGTAGTTCTTGTCATTTTTCATTACTGTTTGGGGTGGTTTTTGTCCAGGATGCTCTTGCACCACTTGATAAGCATGGCTATCCAGCAATAAGTACACCAGGCTTGTGAGATCATAGCCAGTCCTCTTGTCCTTTGGAACACCAACTGCTTAGACTTTGGGCACTGAATTGCGTTCAATATGTGTTACTTTTTATTAACAAGTTAACTGGTAGATACTTTTTTTGGAGTTACCTGAGATATTAAATCCCTTAATTTTTTTAAGACTGAAGGAGCTGGGTACCCCACCTGACCTCTGAGCCCTGTTTCATATTGGCTCACCTTGCACCGTCTCTGACCTCAACTGTTTCATTTTCTGGTGGGCTCTTGGAGCAGGTGCAGCTGGGTGCAGGTCTGGCTGCAGCTTCAGGACTTGAATCTGCTTGCTGGAACCCCTGGTCTCATGTGTCTGTGTGATGTTTTCCAGCATATTACAATCCCTGTGTCCTGGGGGCTACTGAGACTTGGTAGGATCTGTGTAGCTTTAGTCCAATCCAGAGCCATGGGGGAGGCTCCCCTGCCAGCAGCTCTGTTCTGACCTACAGCAATGGGAGTTGTATTACTGGAAGGTGGGCATTTGTGCAAACTAAAAAAAAACCAAAAAAACAACAAGGATGAGAGAGGAAAGTACCCACAAGCTGAGAGTACTGAGCTTGTTGTAAGTTGTGCTGACAGTGCAATTCATGGGGCGGGGGGGAAATCTCAAGTCAGACTCTTGAAAGACCACTCTACAGGACCTGTATATAGCCAGCTGTTCAAAGGTGAAAGAATTTCTCTCCAGTAATTATTTAAAATATGTTTTACAGAACTCAATTCGTGCTACATTAGGATTTACCTGACAGAGGCAACCCTGAGGCATAGGATGTGTGTTATTCCATTTATGATTTTCATATACTATGAGTCTTGGTACTGCTGGCCAAAGCCTTCCCATTCCAAAGCAGAAATGTTGTACGTTCCGGAGCAGGCATATGCACAGATGACTTGCAAGTATAATAAGGTAGTAAATAGAATTGATTTTCAGCATGGAGCCATGTTAGTACAGAGTTTGAATCAGAATTATCATTAGCCAACTTAACTTGTCATGTTTTAGGCTGGTGCAGGTTCTGTCCTTTACACCATTTTCCAGAATACTTGACAGATAAAACAAGGTCTCTGCCCTCTTAAAGCTCCCTCCCTGTGAGTCAGTGATACTAGATAATGCACAGAGGTACCTGTTTAGGCTTCTGGCAATTTAAGAAAGTTCTAAAATGAAATAATGAAACAAAATTGTGACAATTATTTAAACTGTTCTTCAGGTATCCCAAATTAAATTTCATCAAAACTATGATGTAAAAATATCTTATTTTACCCAAAGATTGAATTTTTTTCCAAGATGGAGATGGTTGCCCCAAACTGCTGCCAATGTAGAATGGAATAGCTGACACCTTTAACTTGAAAATGTCTGTATGTCTCTCTTGCCATTAGGCAGGAAACACCTGAGGTCCATCAGGACTCAGGTCTGTGAGGCTGGCAAAGTCTTGTAATTGGATCCATCACAAGTGATGCTTTGTCAGATTCTTACAGTGATGTTCACTGTGGTTCCCAGGCACCTGTTTGACACCAACAGTTGTCATCACCAAGAACTCTGAAGTGTCCTGGAAAACCCTGGCTCAAAATCCAGCAAATTAAATTTAGTACAAACCAAGAACTTTAGAACATCCTATTTTAAGACTTTTTTTCAGCTTCCTCGCCTTCAAAAGTGAGACATCCTTAGACCATTATTGTGAAGGTGACATTTCATGTTCTGCTTCATACATAAATACGAATGTCAAGTATGGAAGAATTTGGAAGAGAGTGGAAAAACCAGCCTGAAGAGAATTTGGAGGAAAGTCATTATTATTTATCATCAGGGAAAATACATGGCTGGGAAACTACCTCATTTTAGTTATCTCCACATCTGTGGAGTTTTTAATTCATAATAGTTCCTTGTGTGGACTCCGCTGTTATTTCCTTTTTTTATTTCCCCCCTATTACATATGTCACTAAATGGATGATTGTTTGGTGGAGGAAGAGTAATTTTACCTCATTTAAAGAAGTGAGTGAAGGTGTTCTGCAAGATTGGGGCCATTCAGCTAATTCTGAATTTCTCCAGAGTCAAACTGCACTAAAACCCAGCTCTCGATCTGCAGCGGTTGGGGGCTGTCACTGCCTCCCCACCCCACTGCGTTCTCTCGTGTTTCAGTAGATCAGGTGAGCAGAGCCAGCATTGGAAGCTGACACGTGCACAGTGTACAGGCTCAGGGGGTCAGGCAGGGACAGGGAGCCCTGAGCAGTCCCAGGAATTGCATCCCTTACTGGACTGGAGCAGCACAAGGAAAGACATCTGTGTCTGCTTTGCACAGAATGCCCAGTGCTGAGGGGGGCCCATAGGGTGGGGAGAGGATGGTGCTGCATTTGTGCTCATGCTCTGTTCGCTGAGGACGGTGCAGAAAAAATAAACTATACACATCTTCCACTGCCCACATCCATGTCCAGACCTGCAGCTTGCTGTCCCTGGACTCATCCTCACCTTTCCATAGTGAATCTCATGGTAAACGTTTTCTCTCTCATACGGTTGAAGTGAGCTTCTAGCTTACCTGCTGCCAAATCCAGTCACAGTTCCTCATAGCCGCTGCTGGAGGTACTTGGGGTTATTTAGTGGACTGTACTGGTACTCAGAGCTTCTCTTCTCACAGACAAGAAGACTCAAAGTTTTTGAAAGCCCCAGCAAGACACACACTTCGTCAGCCAGGGCAGGACAGGGTGTGTTACCTTGTGAGCATGTTGTGAACTGATACATTTGGACACCAAGTGTGTAATTCCACACCTATACAGCATTTGTGAATGGAGTTGGATTAGTTCCAGCCCTGTGGACAAGAGCTGCTTACTTGCTTACACCTTGTGCCATAAATCCAAGATGCTTTCCCTGCTTGCTTTTGCCCTGCTGCTGCATTACACAGCAAATGACCTCCCTGTTTCCACCCCGATACTGGTGAATGAGAGTTTAACAAGATTTATCCTGCCTAGGTATTTGTCTAAAGCTGTTGCCTTTAATCCAGCCACTGAGAAGATTATTCTTTACCTACTGGAAAACACAGTGTCTGTGCTTTCATGAGGCTTGCCTGGAATTTGAATGTGCCTCTGTTTATGAAAGTGAAAGAAGTTACTCTCTGAGAGAGGAAGAAGTGTGTAAAACTATTTACTGCTAGTTTCTGATTTGTTCCGTATCTCTTGCAGCTTGAATGAGAACTCATGGTCCAGCTTTCCAAGTCCACAAAATTACTTTACCTTAAGTTCATTAATTACCCAGCTTTATTTGTTTTCCTGAGTCTTTTTTTTCCCACAGGTTTCTAAGGTGATTTATTCAAAATGCATTAAGTAACCTGTTAAGAACTGTTCTTAAATGCATTTTCAGTATTTTATGATAAAAAACCATCTTGAGGTGCTGATTCTCAAACCAAAAATGGAGCAGCTTCATCTTGCTACAGCATCATTCAGGAGTGTGAAAGATATCAATAACAGAGAGGGTTTGGATTCAATACAAATCTTTCTCTATCAAGAAAAGGCTTTAATTAATTAAAAAGCAAGTGTGTTTTTTTCATTTTAAGATGCTGGAGCTCTTCAGCATTTGGCAGGTCAATATTCAGCCTGATGCTTCAAGTGTTAAGGTGAAAGCTGCCCATTTATGACCTGTAATGAATATTTCATTTTCTCTCCATATATGAAAACAATAAAAACTCAAATGCAATGAACATTAATGTAACAATGACACTATCAATCTTGAAGAATAACATTTATTCGTATCACCTGGAAAATTTATCACATGCCACCTACCACTATTTAGACCACTTCAGATACTTTACACAGCTTTAATAAAATCAGAATGTTTACAATTAATCTTTCAACCAACATAGAAAGATTTAGACTTTTTATTGGAGCAGTAAAAAACAATCTCATCTTTGACTTGCTCTCGATAACATGGGATACATGAAATCAATTCCCACAGACACATCTTTTCCCAGCCCTTCCCCCTAAAATTTAGAGTATGAAGCAGCTGTTTTCTGATGGTGAATGTTCCAATTGCTGCGTGCTCACTGGCAGAAACATCTGCTTTCCAGATCCCTTTGCTCCAGAGCAGTCACACAATTTAGAATGTTGCAAAGAAAACCTGCCTCAAATGAAGTCAGTGCAGTCTTCCCACAGTTTTCAAGGGTGTTGGGATCAAGGGTGCCTAGGTTTTTACACGCCAATCACAGAATACTGTAAGAACTCTTGGAATGTTGTATCTTTTAATTTGGGGAATGTAATGATAAATGAAGGCAAGCTATATGATTACTAATGTAACTTTTGGTTGTGAAGGCAGTACTTCCAAAACCAAAATCCTCTGCTAATAGTTGTCAAGAATATCCTTTCCCCCTTTTTACTCTTAAGTTCTACAAATTGATTAGAATTACTGAAGTAAATGTTTAAGTGAAGTCTATGTTCTTCAACACACTTAGCACTGACAGGCCAAAAATTCATGAACCACAGAGCACTATCACCAAAACCTGACAACCACAGGAGATCAGTCTGCTGAGATGCATCAAGATGCACGTCACTGTCAGTATGGATGGTGTTTGGAAATTCTGGGTGTCATTCCAGGAACTTCTGCCTGAACAGCATTTTTAACTGTTGGCCACAATTTCATTAATTCCCATACATTCTAGTCCCTGCTGTTCCCAAAATAGTATGTTGAGTGAATGAGAGCTCAGGTTACGGAAAATAATTCATAGTGGAATTTTTGCTCTCTTATCCAATAAAAACTGGGTATACTGAGGAAAGTGACTATGGGTATCCTGTATCAGCTGTATAAATTGTACTATTTAAGTGTTGCATGTAAGTGCTACAATCCCAACTGGATTTGTGACTTAGTAATTAGAACCTTATTCTGGATTGGGCCTTGACTGAGATTTTCTTCATCCTAAAATACAGACAGTTAATGTTGAACTAATTTAGTTGCTTGCAAGAAGACAAACTTCTGTTGTGATTTTTTAGTCTTGCAACAGGACAAGTCAGTATGTTGGTGCAAAATTGATCATGTATAATTGAAGAAAATTGCTTATATGTAACCAGAAAGTACTGAAGTGATACCAGAATATATATACATCTAACTATGAAATACCTTGTAGTAAAAAAATCCAGAGAAAATGTGATATCAGTGAAACTTGTCTGAAATGACCAATAAAAATATGCTGCTTAAATTAAGTATCTTATCAGAATTATTTCTAAGAGAAAGTAAGCATGAATGTACTATACTGTAAGTCTGTAAGTACTGTAAATACTATAAGTATGCTAAAGGTAAATATTAGAGAAAGAGAGCTTCCTCCATCTTTGAAGAATTCTTAAATTCTTTAAGCTTAATTATATTTTTATGGTAATGATATGTGTGCTGATGAGTGTTGTCTAATCAGTCTTTTTAGTCTTCCTGTAGTGCAGGATTGTGGCTGTGACCCAAATATTGAGAATGAGCATGACTATGAAACGGGTGAGAACTAAAAGAGAAAAAAAATATTGTAAGCATGAATCAAAAAAAAAAATCAGCTGCTGTTACAACACTGGTTTGTTACACTTTTGCTTGTGTACACACAGGCTGGTTCATATTTGGAAACTATTTTCAGCCAATTAATTTCAATTACCATGTTCAGGAACCCACACATTCTGAGCATGAATCAAAGAGAAAACAGCATTTAGCACTTGATCGTTTTCAGAGATAGCTCAAAATTATACACTCCAGTACCTTTAATTCTTTTGTAACCTGGAGAATAGTACAAGCATGAGAAGCCTCATATAAATTTATATGTACACCAAAAGTTTAATTCAGAGTCACAGCTCACGTGTCTTTTATAGTTGCATGTGTTATTTGTAATAAAGGAACTACTCTCTCTACTGCTATCTCTTAAATTTAGACTTTGAGAAGACAGGAGATACTTGTATCTGTCAGACTTTAATGACAGAAAATCTGACAACTGACAAAAAAGCAGTTTTTCAGTACCTGGGTTAACTCAGCTTTAAAAATCATAACAGCATAGTACGTCTACCTGTGAGGAGATATTTAAAGTATAGGTATGTCTGATGTCCATTTGGTAGGTGGAATATTCACAGAAATGTACACAAAACTTCGTTTCAGAACTATGTGTTATCTGACTGTGTCAATGTGTTCAGTGTTGCAACTGAATTGGAAACATTTTCCATTAGAGCAGCACAGCATCAGTGTTTGCTGGCCCTGCCATGTGCCACAGTGGGTGGTGCTGTGTTTCAAACAGCAGCTTTACCCAGCGCCAGCTTTGCTTTCCTGGTGTTTCCTCCCTCCCCAGTGAACCCCCGCCTCCCCCTCGGGGTAAATGTGTGGCTGTGGGTGATGTGGACTCAGTACCTGACCAAATCCCTGCATGAGGATTTTGCCAAATCTTTGGTGACCAGTTAACTGCACAGCCCCACGGACCCCTTACCTTGGCAAAGAAAAAGCAGCAAGCATGGGGGTGGAAATGTGGGCCAGAAATGGGACTTCCTTTTCCAGTGAAAGACCCACTTGAAATGCCTGCAAAGCTACAGCTTTATTGGGCTGCAGAGGCTGCTTAAAAATTACAAAATCCATTCAAGTGATGTTTCTGATGAAATAGTTTTGAATGAGAACAAGGAACCACCAGATGAAGTACAAAGGGATTGTTACTTGTTCTTGCATCCACCAAGCCTTGATTTTGAACAATTTACTGAAAAATCTTGACTCCCTAGCTCTTGTGATTTTCAGAAATGGGACTTCCTTTTCCAGTGAAAGACCCACTTGAAATGCCTGCAAAGCTACAGCTTTATTGGGCTGCAGAGGCTGCTTAAAAATTACAAAATCCATTCAAGTGATGTTTCTGATGAAATAGTTTTGAACGAGAACAAGGAACCACCAGATGAAGTACAAAGGGATTGTTACTTGTTCTTGCATCCACCAAGCCTTGATTTTGAACAATTTACTGAAAAATCTGTGACACTCCCTAGCTCTTGTGACTTTTTCAGGACAGTAAGAAGCTGTTACATAAATCTGCTTTATAATTTGCTGGAAATTATATATTTTAAGTCAATTTTTAAAAATTTCTTACCAGCCTACCATTTTGTTTTCAGCCTGTCATAAATTTTCTGAATGTTGGACCTGAAACTGGTCACATACTAAGCTGAACTTTAGTTTTCTAGAAGAATTTTTTCATTAAAAAAACTATCAATAAGTGAAATACTTATTACTTGAAAATCTCATTCAACTACTACAGGTTTTTTAAAGTTGTATTTTACTACATTTATTTATTTATTAAAATAGTAAGTATTTTAATACTTTGTTCTGCTATTTTCAGAATTAATTTTGTGGTGCTTTTGCCATTTGGAAAAAAAAAAATCTTTCGGACCAGTTGCACCACACGACAAGCATAAGCAGTTTTCTGGCTTTTTTTTTTCTTGATGTCTTTGCCTGATTTGTAATCCTGTGTAACTCCTGCCCTCACCATGCTAACCTATCACGTTCGTGGTTTGTTCTTGTGAGACTTTCTAACCAACTGAAAACTACTGTGGCAGCTGCTCCCTTGGAAAGGCAGAGAATTCCATACTTCACTCACCTGCGCGATCATTTGTAGTCATTAAAGTTGTAATGATTCTTGCTGTAAATGGAATGAATTCTGATTAGTGGAACACATAGCACACATACTTTAGAAAAATTATGAAATACCTGTTTTTCAACAGAAGATAATCTTGCACGAAAATATATACTGTACATATTCCCATTTTTAGTCCACTCTTCACCTTTTTGGCTTCAGAGATCAAGCTCTCAAAGCTGACTGACAATGTATTAAGGGTCTTTTTAAATGAGAAAATCACAGATATAATTAGAATTTTTACATCCATCATGCTAGATTGGATGTGGTCAGTTTATTGCTTTTCTTTCTGTTCAGCCCCTCCTTCAGGAGCTGACTGAGCTACTCTCACAGTTAAGTCAGCATGAATTAACCACTGGGAATGTTCACGTGTGTGCCCTCAGGTTTTGCAAATACAAGGGATTCAGCTTCCCTTCACACAAGGAACCTAAATGTTAATTATTTCACACTTGCAGCAGAGTAAAAGCATTTACAAAGTTTACTGTCACTGTTCACCACAACTTCTAATTACTAACTTTTTTTTCATGTAGAAATACATCCAGCATCACTTGATGATGAGTTTTATAGTGAGAATATTTTAAATGAGTTTTGTGAAGATGCAAAAGGCACTTCTGACAAACAGCTGTTCATGCAGACCACTGGGGAATTGCCACAGGAACTCCACAAATGACTGTTCATAAATTCTGTCAAGAAGTGTAATTACAAGTACCCATAGCGTTAAAGGTATTTATCATTAAGTGTGTATTCATTTGTAGACAGCTTTTCAAAATTAGCATTGTCAGGTTTACATTAGCACTGTATACCTGAAATTTTAGCACCTTTTCATGCTGGACCACTAGTAACTTTGTTAAATCATGGAACATGGAAACATTTTCCTCACAAAAACAGCCTTCCAGTTATTTCAATTCCAGTTCCCTTGCTCATATTCACACTTTAAGTCATTGGTTTTTAACATGGGTGTCAAAGATAAAACTTGTTTTCAAGAGACTGTGAGTTATCTGAGTCCCAGGCGTCAGCACTGAGGAAAACTAAGGCAAGACCTTTACCTCCTATGATTGAGTAAAGACCTATGAGAAAAGGAATTAGGAGCACTCAGTAGTTCACACCCAGTTATCCGTAGCTTACCTGCAGAGGCGTACACAGACATGCCCCAGGTCAGGGCACTCGCTTGTCCGGAATCTTTTGTCTCCCAGAGATGCTGCAGCTGAACCAGCTTACTGGCTGCACTGATGAGCGTGCACAGATTCTGAAAAACAGGTGAAAAAGAGAGAGAACCTCTGCCATGGTATTAGCTGAATAGAAGTAGTTTTTCATTTAGAATTAAAAAATTGGCACTTTTCCAGTACTTGGCAACCCAAGTGCTTTAGCTTCTTAGTAAGGAGCAGTGAAGCCAAAACTGGAAGTTGCCAGAAACAAGGACTCATTTCTGAGGTTCTGCCCAGCAAGAAGCTCAAAGAGCACAGTTGCTACTGTTGTTGACAAATGTTTGACAGAGGCAAATGCAGTAGGAAGCAAAGAAACAAAAAAAGCTTCTCAACCTGCTCCATAAAACTGTTTATAAAAGTCAGCTAAAATGAGACTGACCTAGTCTAAACAGCAAGGTTGATTCAGACCATATGTTACCATTATGTCTGGCAAACCAAACCATAAAGGAATGAGAAAACTGACAAGAATGTGTGGAAATTAGTCCAATTGGAGGGAAAAAATAGTAACAGGAATGCACTATTCACTCAGTCCCCCTTTTAAAGGGGATTTTGCAAAGGCAGCAGGTAGAGAGGACTCCACACAGGACATGCCTGGATTTCTGCTGCAAGCAAGGATAAGTGTAGGGCTTGGAAGCTTTTCTCCCCATCTGTACCATCTTTTGCATTAGCAGATCCTGTTCATCTCAATTACTTTTTTACTTTCTGTCTCCTGCTAAGAAAAGACCATCTTTAATCTTTGTAGGCATTATCAGATTGTATTTTTCTTGCAAAATTGTATGACAAGGGGAAAAAAGAAGTATGTCACAATCCCTGTTTCAAATGCTTTGAGGCTCTATTCTCTTCCTCTTGTGTTAAAGGTTTATTGGTTGGATTATGACATTAGGACTAAAGTGGCAGTAGAATTTCAACATTTTAAGTATTTGCTAGTAACAAGTAATCAAGTAACAACTTATCTCAGAACATGCCTTTTCTCCCCCCATAGAGTCTATTTTCGGTGCTGTTTTCCAGCTACTCGCAAAAGAAAGAACCTGTATCTGAGAACTGGTTGGTTATTCTGAAAGCCAACCAAAATGATGAACTCTTCCAAGGACATATATGTAGGAGAAAGTCCTCTAATAAATACTTCCAGAAAAGAAAGTCACTTCATGTGAAGATCTAATTTCAGATAGTCATGTAGCACTTACCATGGCCAGGTCTATTATACGCTTCTGCAGTGTTAGCATGTACCAGCCCACCCAAAATCTTATATTACATTAAGTTTCATAGCACTTAAATTGTAGGATACAAAGTTCTCAAAACTGCCTGAGGAATAAGCCTTTTTTTAAACATCTGGAAATAATCTTATTGAAACTTTTAAACAGACTATACAATTGAGATAAAACATATTAAAAACTGGTTGAAACACTAAGTGTTCCTATTTTTCACACTGGTTTTGGTCAAATAGTGTCTGGAGTTTCTCAAAACCTACCCCAAAACACAAGATTTGAGATTTTAACCCAAGTCCTATTTAGAAAAAAACCCAAACAGTGCTGTCTTTTTTTGCAGTAAGTACAACCTCCGTGGGCAGGAATTAAAAAAAAATAATTTTAAAAATTTTGTCATTTCTACTCTGCATCCCTGTAAAAAAGATGTAAATTAAGAATTTAGTTTACTCTTTATCAGTTGGGAGCCTTCTAAAGCAGAGCAAACATATAAAGCTTACTTCCTGCAGAGGTTTTACTGTCATCCCAGAAATCAGCATGTGAATGTTGAATACAAGTTGAGGAGTGCCTGAGAATGATTTACAGTAGTGGCACACAAGAAACAATGACATAGCTGCTATGCAAAGAACTACCAAACAAGCCACATAAAGCAAACCTCCCAGATTTCAAAGGATACATGACTGCATAGAAAAAAGCTCGTCTCACTTTTCCACTGAAATGCATAATGCAGCCCAGGAGAATGGTGTCTGCAATAAACAAAAGATGGCTCATCACAGAAAGGACTGAAGGGGCCCAAACACAACCCTAGAGAGTTCCACTGGGCACAAGGACTCTGGAAACTCCTTTTTTACAGCTTTTGTCTCTCAAATGTGATTCATGACCAAAATACTGCAAGGTCCAAAACTAAGCTTTTCTTAGAATCTGGAGTGTTTAGTATGTTTCTCTCCCATGTGGAGAAAACAGACAAAAGGATGAGTTTACATCTGTGACTCTGTGTAATAATTAGGTTTTTCTCCTCCACCTGACCATCTCTTTCAATGGCATTTAAAATAATTCAGTTTTATATGAGATGTCAATTTTCTCTTCTCCCCAACTCCAGCATCACTGCAGTGGAGCACTGTACCTACATGCAGAGACTTGGAGTGCTGAATGAGTCCCATTTCATTTCCAAAACATGGTTTACAAAAATTACCTTGTGCAATGACGACAGGAAACTCCAGGTATGTCTCCAGGGGGTAACCATAATAGATCTGGTACCTCAGAAACACAAGGAGGCTGAACAGAGAGATACAAAACATGACTGCACAGAGGGACACAAATGCCTTCACAACTTTTATACTGTTTTGGTGCTGCCAAAAGGCTCCAGATAGGTGTAGCCCTTGCTGTCAAACCAATCAAACAAAACACAGGCACATACTGCAAGCCTGATCATTCTCTAATCTGTTTCTGTTACCCTCACTGCCCACACTTCTCGCCGAGGTCTTTATGTCACAGTCTGTAGGGCACAATTTCATTTATTATAATTGCTGAGAAAGAAATAAAGGCTTCCAGATCTAGGACACAACTTCTCTCTGCAAGAGTCTTGGCATCTCCAGGATAACTCTGATTTCTTTATTTATGTCTGCAGTTCAATTTGTACATTAAAGAAAATGTCTTCCAAGCTGTCTAGACTATACTGTTATGAGGTTACTCAGAGTAGCTCTACTGGTCAGACTAAGAGTCTGTTTCTAAGTGCACCAAACAATGGCAATTTTCCTTCTTGCCATTCCACAATACAGTACCTAAAAGGAACTGAACTTTTATGTTTTCTGTACTTCCAACTCTCCTGCAAGTCCATGGGGTTACACAGAAAATTCAAAGCTGCACAGAAAACAGAAAGACTCAGAGCAGTTTTACATAAGAAAAAATATTATGGTTTCTGGTGTAGAAAAATGGCAGAAGGAACAGCCTGCCTTGTAAGAAACTGGCTTTTACAGTATTCAGAATTTAAATATCTGAACTTCCTAGGTGTGCTGTTTGATGTAGAGTCAAATCAGACTCCTAGCCACCAGCACCATGTTTCTGTGTCACCCCTCATCCTGGTCACTCTATGTTGATTTCACAAAACCAGCCCAGCTTGTAGTGGTAGTCACACAGCTCCCTGCAACTGGATTCAAAGTCTTTAAAGATAGAAGGATAAACAGTCTACTGAATACAATAAATGTTTCAAAGAAGACCAGAACTTGTAGTTGTGTGGGTACCGTGCTTCTCATGCAGGTGCTGAAGAAACATTTCCAGCTTCTCCATGCTCATCTCAAACATTACTTACAGACCCTTTTTAATGCACACCAACGCACACAAATGATTGAAGTGCTGTCACCGCTTTTCGGCTGAGGCTGTGGGGTCAGTAATCTCAGCTGGAACTCCCATTTGCTTCATTGACTCTGAGGTGTGCTCAGGGTAAACAGCAGCAACACGGGCTCAGTGCTGCGGGGAAAGGCGGGCGGGGAGCGGCCACGGCGGGACCTGAGGGCTTCTGCACCGCTCCACTGAGAGGTGTCTGTAAACCTGAGCTGTGCCCCTGCCTGGAGACGCCGCACAGGCAACTTCAGAAACACCACGGCGTTTTTGTGAGGGGATTTTCTGGATGAAACCCCCTGTCCTGGCTTGGCGCAGGGAGGTGGCAGCCGCCCGGCTGGATGTTCTGCCCACCTCCACCCCCGGTTCGGACATCGCAGGGCTCTTCAAGGTGCTTTCTCCCACTTGTACCCACACCTGAACGTGCACACACCGAGTTTATTTATTTGTCGTTTCATACAATCCTCTTTAAGCAAGACTTAATAAGCCTAGCCCATGTAAGCGCATTACAGGCTCACAAGTCTTTGGAGTTTGACGCGGCTTGTAATTTTCTTAAGGAATTATTTAAGTCTTACTGATTCGGGTGAGGGAAGCCTGTCTGACGAGTACCGCTACCTGCACCACACGGTACAGAGCCACTGAACAACCTAAAAACAGGCTTACAGCCTCTGCAGCTGCTGTATGCAAGGACATGCGTGGTCTGGGATGGTTTGGGGCGAGTTAAAAAGGACGAGTTTCCCTTTAAATGACAAAGCGGAATCACTAAAACAGGAAGTTCCTTCCCGAAAGGCTCTGTGGGCTCAGCTGGTGGGGCTGGTCCGGAGCTCCGAGCGGGGCGATGTGGCACCGCGGGAGCGGGGCGGGCTCGCCGCCCCCAGGCCGCCCCTCAGCGCACCCTCACGCCTGGCCTGAGCCGGGAGGAAGGAATGAATCCCCGGCTGCCGCGGCAGCCCCAGGGCCCCGCACTCCCGCCCGAGGGACCCGCGGCTCCAGCCGCTGCTCCCGCCGCTGTCCCCGAGTGCCCCCGCCGCCTTACCCGGCCAGCTCCAGGAGGAGGCTGCTCACACTGAGTCCCCACGCCGAGCCGGCCCTCAGCACCGCCACCAGCTGCGGCAGCTTGATCACGGCACACACGGCCCAGGTTGTCAAGTGCACCAGGTCCAGCAGCCCCGGCGCCATCCCGCTGCGGCGGCCCGGGACGGGGAATCCGCGGGGTGTGGTGGGACGGTGGCGGCGGCGCTGCCCTCACGGAGCGCCCGGGGCGCCCGCACTGCCCGGGGCACGAGGAGGGGAGAGCCGGGCCCAGCGGAGCATCCGCGGCCCCGTCCGGAGGGGCAGCGGCACGGTCACCCCCGGCCCGTGGTGCTGAGCACCGCGGGGACCGAGGGGACACCCGCGCCGGCCCCGGGCCGCTGGTTGAGCCCTCACTAGCTCTGATTCCCTCGGTGACCGAGCCGAGAACCGCTCCGCTCCAGGTTCGGAGTGTTGGTCCTGGAATGAGTCTGTTCCCATAAACAGCATCCCCGGAACAGGGATGATGTGATGCTGTGCCGGCCACGGGCCGTGTTCACCCCGGAGCAGTGCAGGGCAGCTCCGCTTTGGAGCTGTAAGCTGGAGCAGATTTCCCCCTAAGTGGAGTCCCCACTGCTCCAGCGCCCGTGGCTTTCAGGTCACTCTCTCCGGACTGCTGTGGAACTAATTCCTGCAGCAGGGATCGCACGGCTCTGACAGCAGCACTTCAGTTGTACAAGAAAAATGTGCAGCAAAATTAAAAGTTGCTAAATGCTGGACTTGTCAGATGATATTGAAACTGGCTGGAATAAACTTTGTAATGCAATTTGAAGTATTAGAAATCAGGCATTCTTTACTTGTGCAGGACACAGTGGATTTATTCTGTGTCTGGAGCGAGACTTTACAGCAAGGGTTTTTATTCATTATAACTATACACATTATTCATTAAAACATGCTTCTTATTTAATATATAAATATAATTTTCCTAGAACTAATGTGCATGCATTCACCTCTTAGTGGAAGTTTATGGTTCTGGAGGTTTATTGAGAGGGGTCTTTGGTGATTGTATTCACTGAATGCTTCGATATTAAAGTGACTTTCCTTTGAAATTTTTCTTTGTGTGTGCACTGTTGTTTTTTGTTTTATAAAATTTGCTAAAAACCCACTGTAGGCCTCTTTATCTGTTTCTCCACAGGTTCCAGCTGTGTTTATCATCCTGTGTGCATATCTTTGCTTTTTTTTTTTTTTTTTTTTTTTTTGCCAATTAGTCTTTCAGGAACTTCAGGGGAGCTGAAAATTGTTATTCTTTAAATTATTTATCCCAGGTTATTGGAGATGGAGTAGCTTCTCCAGAATATAAACCTACCTACCATACACAGTTGCTTACAAAACCAGTAAAGTTTTTGTACTTCTCAGTTTGTCAGAACTAAATAAAAGTTATCCTAGGAACATACATTTGTGCTGATTACTCATGGACAGAATCTTGGCTCTTTTGTGCCTGCATATGGCCAGGACTGCTCAGACTGTCAAATCCACACCATTAATTCAGAGTTTCACCTAGAACATAATTTTAACACGAGTGGTTATTCACAGGCATAACGTTTCTTCTTTTTGGTTTTAATTTTAATGAAAGTTGTGTTGTACTATGGTCAATAGTTCTTAAAATGGCTTCAGACAGGTATATTGCATTAATTCTACATACCCTTGGTGGTATTTTAAAACAGTATTTCTAATTCTGAATTTGTAAACCGTGTTGCCCTTCAGTAATTCAGTCATAAAAGGAAGCAGGTATGTAGAAGTACATAAAATCTCAAAACTCAGAAATAAATAGCCCCCAATACAAAATTCTTATGTAGAAACTGTGTTTCTGTTAATACAATTCAAAGTAATCAAGCTTTTCAAAGACAATAAGCTAAAAGAAGAAAAGAGCATTTGGATTTATCTTAAATAATAACTGTTCCAAGATTTTCTTGATAAACTGAGTTGTTGACTTTGTGGGAGCATTATGTACTAGAAAAAAGTTGAGAAATTGTCATACACACTTCTTAAAGTTAGGTCTGAGGTGTAGATGTGTCTGTCATTTCAGATAATCTGAAAATAACAGAAATATCTAAGGTAGAAGTTGCACATTAGCACTACTGTGTGGGTGTTGATCCAAAGAACCTATAAAATTGTCAATAATATGTACTGCCTTGTATCTTTCTAGAGTAACCAAGAAGCTGAACTAACTTCAAACTATTAAGCAGGTCCATGAGCCCATTTTATTCAACTGTTCTTATATTTAGTAAGATATTAAGTATTTAGCTTTAGTCAGCATTTTACCTGTTTAAAAACACATCCTGCTGTGCATTGCAAGCAGTCAGATAACCAGGATGATTGAGCATCTCCCCTGCCCTGTCTGTGTAACAGCCCTGCTCTGCATCTGTTCACTGCCCTTGTGAGCAGCAGCTTAGGGAAGGAACAGATGCTGGGCAGCCCCATGCAGGGTCATGAAGAAAAATTTAATCTGGGAGCAGTATGAGAAGTTCTTCCTAGTCTGTCTAAATTATTTAGTTCTACATCCACTTTCAGTTTTGGCTGCCCTTGTGAGCAGCAGCTTAGGGAAGGAACAGATGCCGGGCAGCCCCATGCAGGGTCATGAAGAAAAATTTAATCTGGGAGCAGTATGAGAAGTTCTTCCTAGTCTGTCTAAATTTAGTTCTACATCCACTTTCAGTTTTGATGAGTTGCAGCAGAATGCAGGACCCCTTCGAATTACAGTTCAGGAAATGAATTCATAGCATCCGAGTCTCCAGTGCAGATTGCCAGTTCTGCAGCAGATGGGCAGTGGTTTAACACTGCTGCTCCTCAGATGGGAATGCACATGTTGATTCCTATTGAAAATAGCACAGAGAAGGAAAATAATCTTCCTGTAGTAACTAAGGACAAAAAGACAAAACATTTTTTTCCCCATAATGATATTGGCTTATCACAATTGAGTTTTTGAACAGAATAATGCCTTAAATTTTGTGGGTTTGCAAGGAATGCAGAGAGTGCCTCTTGCTGGTTATTTCCACAGCCTGACATGCTAATGGGGAATAGTTCATTTTATAGATAATTGATGATTTAAGCTCTAGGTTACAGTAAAGGAGATTCCGCCATTGAGGGACCTATGTGGTTGGAGACAGTCCTGAAAGACACATAAAGGAAAGTTGGAGATGCACAAAGTTGCCAAGGACAACAGGTTACAAGAGGCTCATTTGTTTGCTCAGGGAAGGGAGCATGAACACAGTGTGTCAAGCCACAGAGCTTGGGAAAGAAACCAGAGGAATTAGACATACCAGCACAGTTGCAGGGCTGTGACCTCTTAGGGATCACAGGGACAGCATGGCACATCACATTGTGAGAGCAAGGATTCAAAGCTTTTCTGGAAAAGCAGGCAGGGAAATGAGTGGAAGTTGTGTTCTACACAAACACTTTCTATTTGCTTGGAGCATTCCCCTGCTTATTGTAATAAGCACTGAGTCAGCTGATGGGTCAGAATTGGTGGGGACATCGGCATGGGGAGCACTGTGCAGGCACCTTCTATAAATTGTCTGATCAGGAAGAGGAAGCAGATGAAGTTTTAAATAACTACAAGGAGCTCACAGATGTAGGTACTGCCTGCTTTGGAATACAAAATTGCTATCTGGAGGAGCACCCAGTGGGGTAAAAGCAGTCCAACCAATTTTGGGGGGTCATCAAGAACATTCTTTTTGACCCTGATGCTGGATTTGTTACTCAAAAACAGAAGGAAGGAAGAAAAAACCAGGAAATGTTCAGGTAAAGGACAGCCTTGGCATTAGTGACTCCAGGACCTTAGAACTAAGACCCCAAGAGAAATAAGGAAGACAAACAGTAGAATAAAGATTCTGGGCTTCAGAAGAACATAATTGGTCTTGTTTGGGAAATTGGTTTGTCAGGACCTCGCAGGAACATGTGATAGGGGCAATGGAGATCAGGAGGGTGCATTGGAACTGAAAGAGAACGTGCTCACAGAACAAAAACTGGCTCATCTGGTGAGCTGGAACTGGAGCAGACAGAGGAGCAGCTTGGCTGATCCAGCAGTGCTTCTCTGAACTCTAACACCAAAAAGGGAGGGCTGGCAGGATGGAAAGAGTTAGAGCTACCCAGGCATGAGGGAATGGAGTTGAACACTGGAACAGTGGCCCAGAGAGGCTCTGACATCTCCATCTATAGAGATTTTCACAACTGAGCAGGACAAGGTCCTGAGCAACCTGGTTTAACATCAGCCTTGGTCTTGCTTTGAGCAGGGGCTTGGCCTAGAGGCCTCTAGAGGTCCCTTCTGGCCATGACTGTGATTTTCTGTACTTTAGTCCTTATACAAGCTGCATATTTGAGAATCCAGTCTGCCATCAGACACATTAAGATTAAGACAAGGTAAAAATTATCAAGACTTTAAAACAAAATTGAAAAAGGATGGCTATGATTTCAGGTACTCTTTGCATTTGGTTGTCTTTGCTGAACACTTGTGCCCAAGGACTGTGAGCTTTACTGTTGAGTAGGAGACTGATGCAGAGTGGTCATAAAAGCTCACCTTGAGGAAGGGGTTATCTCTGTGCTGAGGCTCCTTGGTGGCACAATGACACTGCTTCAACTCTGATTAGAAGATCCTACTCTTACTAAAGAATTTCAATGGATCCCTGTGTTCTTTCTGTTTGCGGTTACGTTGTAGAAATGTGCATGACACGAGTTTAAAAGAAATAGTTGTTTGTAGTTTGTTGGTTCTGTCTGCAGTGTCTTGTATATATTTGTGGGAACTGAAAACATGACCTTATTTATATAAGGTTTACTTGAGGTTAGGCTGAACAGAAGCGTAACAAATGGAATGAATGTACTATAAGCAAAAAAAACCCCAAACCCTCTTGATTCAGTGTTTGGTCTGTGGAATGTTTTTCTGAGTTAACAGAAGGCCTTAAGGCCATTCTGGGTAATGACATTTATCTAAAATAATATTGCTATCTAAAAAGTAGTACTGAAAGAGCCTAGAATGCTAAACACAGATTTTAAAACCTAACCCAAAAACCTAACAAAGCTAGGATCTGGAAGGAGCAGAAGAGAAAGAAGATACCCTAACTAGTGTCCCTATTAGAAAATCTGTGTTGAGCTTGTAGCCCAGAGAGGAGGTTGAGCTGCAGCTTTTGGATCTGGAACTGATATTGTTCTAGATCCATACTTACATTTGATTTATCCAAAGAGGAGGCTCCAGCAAGAGTTGAAAGTGTGAGTATATAAGGGCAGCAGCCCTTGCTAACGTCCTGGTGAATGA